GGAGTACGGGGAAACTACTTTAAAGAATGAACTTTTCCTGAACCTCTCCGATATGTCTGCTTGGTAGTGTAGCGTGAACGGATCCTGCCCCGGGGAAAGCGGGGTAGGCTTGCGCACCTAACACGGTGGTCACTCCGTCGGCTGTCCAACCTGCGTGGGTTAGGTTCCTCACGGAGGTGTCGGAACAATACTGTCGGTCTTTTATCTCACCCCGTAACTAAATCGTTAGGATTTTTGGAATTATTGTCTTTCTGAGTCTTGTACGGCTACGCCCTAGGCGCTCTCAGTAGGATGTAACCCTAGCACCCAGTATGAATAGTTATGTAGAACATCTGTACTTTACTATTGCGAACTTCTCACCATTTATGATTAACACTGCCAAGTCTTCACCCAGGGAACTTACCGTAAGCTCCTCTGGTAGTCAGTCGTCACATCTGTATCACACGGTTAACGGACAGGGGAAGAGGGGTAACTTAATCTAAAAAACAACAGAGTCTTCAGTTTTGATCCAGCCACTTACAAATGGTAAGGCTGTGGTTTTATTAAGTTTTTCCAAAGCAATCACATATAACAATTTCAATTCAATGAAACAGTCTCAGTGGTACTAAAACTAATGCCAACTATCCTGATTTAATCAGGGATATCTATCTTCTATTAAAGAAGTCTATCCCAGTCTCTAGAGATGGGGGGAAAAAGCAGAATCTCAGTTTCTCTGCTTCTTTTATGCTACTCTGAGACTAATACCTCCCGTAACCACATGCATCACACATACAGGCGACATCTTGTACCAGAGTTAGCAACAGAATGTAACTGGCTGTAACTTGTTTGGTCCAGTTAGAACCAGAAGCACTATATAAGGCTCAAGTCACTATGTTACATTAAGTGTCTAAGCAGGTTATATGTTTCTATCACTTCTATCATGAAATAAAACATTGTATGTTAAATCATATCTAATATGAAATGAAACACTTTATATATTGTGATGGTTGTACTTTTATGCTTTCATATTTTTCCACAATCTCTTAACAGTAGTTTGTGTATCCAACGGTTGCTGTGAGTGGATATCTTTTGTTTCATTATTCTCTTTTTATTGAGATGGAAAAGCAAAACATTTTATCATCTCCCATGGATTTTTTTTTTTTTTACATAGAAAATAATCAAATAAATATTTATCAATATAAACTAAAATTCAAAGATTTATTTCAAGACATGATGCCTCAAACACACATACATATACTCATCTGTATGCCAATACACTTGTCTCCATATTTGCCCTTCAATCAATCATTTAGATTTAACAATGAAGGAAACAAAAAGCATATTGCTGCTGGTGAGGGTCTGGTTTCTGGGACATGAGACATATGGTTCCACCAGGAACCCGAAAAATCTACATTGAGCCGCGCCCTATGGGCCCACCGCTGGAAGGGATATGCGTGATTGGGTAAAAGGGCTAAAGGGGATTCTTTTCTGTGTGACTTTTCATGTGTGTTTTTAGAGCTTTGTTGCGCCTAAATCTTTCAGCACAAACTGAGCAGCAGTAAGGTTTCTCTCCTGTGTGGATTCTCATGTGTTCCTTCAAACCTGCACTCCGTGTAAAATACTTATTACAGACAGAGCAGGTGTGAGGTTGTTCTCCTGTGTGGATTCTCATGTGTTTCTGTAAATGTGAAGAATCGTAAAATGAGTTCTTACAAACTGAGCAGCTGAAAGGTTTTTCTCCCGTGTGGATCATCATGTGTTTCTGAAAATGTCCACGCTGGTTAAAAGATTTCATGCAAACTGAGCAGCTGTAAGGTTTTTGTCCTGCGTGCATTATCATGTGGTTCTTCAAATCTCCATTTCTACAGAAACGTTTCTCACATACTGAGCAGCTGAAAGGTTTCTCTCCTGTGTGGATTCTCATGTGTACCTTTAGAGCTCTGTTGCGCTTAAATCTTTTAGCACAAACTGAGCAGCTGAAAGGTTTCTCTCCTGTGTGGATTTTCATGTGGTCCTTTAAAACCTGTTTATATGCAAAAGACTTATTACAGACTGAGCAGCTGTAAGGTTTCTCTCCTGTGTGGATTCTCATGTGTTCCTGTAAAACCTGTTTGACTGCAAAAGATTTCTTACAAACTGAGCAGCTGTAGGGTTTCTCCCCTGTGTGGATTCTCATGTGTTTCTGTAAATGTGAAGAATCGTTAAAAGAGTTCTTACAAACTGAGCAGCTGTAAGGTTTCTCTCCTGTGTGGATTCTCATGTGTCTCTGTAAAACCTGTTTCTGTGCAAAAGATTTCTTACAACCTGAGCAGCTGTAGGGTTTCTCCCCTGTGTGGACTATCTTGTGTTTCAGTAAGTGTCCACGCTGGTTAAAAGATTTCGTGCAAACTGAGCAGCTGTAAGGTTTTTGTCCTGTGTGGATTCTCATGTGGTTCTTCATATCTCCACTTCTACGGAAACGTTTCTCACATACTGAGCAGCTGAACGGTTTCTCTCCTGTGTGGATTCTCATGTGTCTGTTCAGATCTCCACCTCCAGTGAAACCTCTATCACAAACTGAGCAGCTGAAAGGTTTCTCTCCTGTGTGGATTCTCATGTGCGTCTGTAAATTTGAACAATAGTTAAAAGATTTATCACAAACTGAGCAGCTGAAACATTTCTCTCCTGTGTGGATTCTCGTGCGTTTCTTCAGATTTCCACTCTTGCCAAATGTTTTCTCACCAGCGCTACATCTTGAATCACTGACAAGGACTTCATCAGGTTTCCAAGAGTTTAACCCTGACTGAGGTTCTCTGGTCTCCTTCCAATCATCACTGTTATAAGAGTCTCCAGTCTTGTCATCAGTATCTGGTTCTGGATTCCTGTCTGGTTCTGGTCCTCCACAGTCCTCTCCATCAGCTTCTGTTTCCATCTGTTCAGTTTGTCTTTGATGAAGCTGTGAGGACTGAGCTTCCTCTTCTTCACTCTTCAGAGGAGTGAATGAGTACTTGATATCAGCCTCCTCCAGACCTTGAAGCTGCTCTCCCTCCTGACTGATCCAGAGTTCCTCCTGTTCCTCTTTAATGTGTGGGGGCTCTGGGTCCTCCTGTTCTTCTTTAATGTGTGAGGGCTCTGGGTCCTCCTGTTCTTCTTTAATGTGTGGGGGCTCTGGGTCCTCCTGTTCTTCTTTAATGTGCGGGGGCTCTGGGTCCTCCTGTTCTTCTTTAATGTGCGAGGGCTCTGGGTCCTCCTGTTCTTCTTTAATGTGTGAGGGCTCTGGGTCCTCCTGTTCTTCTTTAATGTGTGGGGGCTCTGGGTCCTCCTGTTCCTCTTTAATGTGTGGGGGCTCTGGGTCCTCCTGTTCCTCTTTAATGTGTGGGGGCTCTGGGTCCTCCTGGTCCAGACTGGAGCTCCACTCCTGCTGCTCAGGGGGAACCTCTTCTTTAACCACCAACAGCTGCCGGACGTCTGCAGGAAAACGGTAACCACACAGACGTTACAAAGAAATATCAGTATTGAGCAAATAGTCTCCTGTACATACACTTTTTTTCCTGCCATCATTCCCTCCGACACTCCCTGTGCAGTTACCAAACAGACATGCCGACACAAATTGTAAAGACACAACACACCAGCAGCAATGCGGTCATTGATCAGGTTGTATTCAGTGATTTATATCCAACCGTTTGGTTCCGTTCTGCAGCTGAGATAGTCCAGATTTAAAATATGGAAGAATTAAATAGACTATGTAAGGAACTAGTATTAATTCTGTAAATTAAGGTTAAATGAAATAACCAAGACTGTTGTCAATGTGTGAGTTGCTTGGTGTTCCTGCTGGTTAGAAGATTTCTTACAAACTGAGCAGCTGTAAGGTTTCTCTCCTGTGTGGATTATCATGCGTTTCTTCAGATTTCCACTCTTGCCAAATGTTTTCTCACACTCAGCATCTAAATAGTTTCTCACCAGCACTACATCGTGAATCACTGACAAGGACTTCATCAGGTTTCACAGAGTTTAAACCTGACTGAGGTTCTCTGGTCTCCTTCCAAGCATCACTGTCATCAGTGTCAGAAGAGTCTCCAGTCTTGTCATCAGTATCTGGTTCTGGATGTCTATCTGGATCTAAGACTCTGTCTGGTTCTGGTCCTCCACAGTCCTCTGCATCAACTTCTGTTTCCATCTGTTCAGTTTGTCTTTGATGAAGCTGTGAGGACTGAGCTTCCTCTTCATCATCTTCACTCTTCACAGGAGTGAATGAGAGCTTGACATCAGCCTCCTCCAGACCTTGAAGCTGCTCTCCCTCCTGACTGGTCCAGAGTTCCTCCTGCTCCTCTTCAATGTGTGGGGGCTCTGGGTCCTCCTG